CCGAGCCCATGCATTAGATGCTCCCAACTCGTAACTCCAATCGATGCTTACCACCAACTCCCAAGTAACAAATTTCAGCGTAACTGCAAAAACATAATCAAAGAATGAGATAGACAAAGCGCAATGAATTTAAAATAAAGTAAAAGTTAAATTCGAATTCACTTATCTCGCGTTGCTTGCACTCCTTGCAATTTTATTTTCTTTGTTATGGTGTCAAATGTCAAAAAGACAACAGGAAGAAAAAAAAACAATGGGATATTTTTTTTTAGTACCGATTGGCGTTGCCGTACTCGGGCAGGGATCAAGTGTGAAGATAACCGGGTGGCTCACGATTTAAAAAGGGAGGGATATAGTGGTGGAAGATATATACGAAGGACTTTAGCGGGAATCTTATACATAGGAAAACGAGGGGTATGAAAGGGCATAACAGCGCTCGGTGGGAGAAAAAACGCTATCCAAACTTGTAATGGCAAATACGTGGCCTCTGTGCGCGAGTGTAGCTTAAATTTCTAAATTTTAATATAAAGCCTGTGTTTTGTGTGTAGAGCCAGTGGATTATATCTTACAGGTGGGAATTAGAAAAATAAATGAGTAAAGTTAATAAAAATGATTGGGTAATTGATTTAAATAGGAACCCTCACTCAGCACCACAAAGGAGCACCAAGAAGGATAGCATCCATAGCGATATTTTTATGTTTGGTGGAAAATCAAAAGCAGGAAGTGTAAGTCCATTCCACTGTCGCGCGGTTAAGCACGAATTTATAGATTTCTTTGTTGCAGTGCGAGAAGAAGCTGGAAAGGGCGCAGAGGCAAGAGCAAACGCAACTTCCTGTAAGTCTTAGCTTTTAATTCATATTTATAGAAGTTTGATAGCACCCGATTATCGGGACCGCCCTGTGAACATTTTTGGGCCGATCAGGCAGCGTTTCCGGTCTTCCCCAAGTGCTAAACCAGTTAGGTGAGCTAGGTGTGAACCGCTCTATAGTGGAGCAAGAACAGGAGTCGCTGTTAACATCGGTGCTAACCGCACGCGTTTGGGACAATAAGTCAACGCTACACAAGTAAATGAAAGCTCAAGCTTGAAGGCTGAGGGATTCATACAGGCCAAAGAGCTGCCTAAATGTATTTATTATTATTATCATTGCCTATATAGACCCTTTTTTTTTTTGCTTATTCTTGTGTTCGTCTTCGTACTGGAAATTTTACTACCGCTTTTAGCGTTTCAATCTTGAAGTCTGTAAATGTCCCGCACAAACCCAAAAGATTTGTAACCCAGTAAATTTATTGATGTTTGTTTCTCCACACCCCTTTCTAAGAGAGCTCCCTTAGGCAGGCAAAAAAAAAGGATGTGTATATATGAACAAATTTTATGGGCTGTTGAGCGGTGAAATTTAGCACTAAGAGTTCTGTTTTTTGTTGATTTGATTTAAATAATCTGTCTTTGTTTCTAATTAAATTTTAGTTAGTGGATCCTTATATAAACAAAAAAAAAACAGATAAGTCAATATAATAATATTTTTTCTTTGTAAGCTTAACTTTAATCCGTTTTTTTATCCGTAATTTAAGTCCTAATCGTTTTTCTTCCCAATGTTTAGTTTTAATATTTTTAATAAAATCTTTGTTTCAGAGGTCGAAACTATGTATTGAGATCATCTTGTAAAGGGGGGGTACAGCGAAGGCATGGTGATTGAAATGGAGGTGGGGTGAAGAGTTGGTGGACGGACATATTACGGGGCTGCAATGGAAATGTCACGGTGGATTTATGCAGCCTAGGCAGGGTGGGCCGAATCAAAGTGAGCATGTAAGGTGGCGAATTTTCACTAAATTAGTTTGTTCTGACATCCTCCACGCCTCGCCCAGGTTGGCGGGTTCGAAAACCCACGCCCGAAACTTGGAGCTAGCTGAAGCAACCGACCAGGGATGATAGATTTGGGCGTGGAGTGCATAGCGCGCACAAGAGGATGGGTCATAACAAAATGGCGCCCAATTTAAAAAAAAAAACGCGCGATTCGAAAATAACCCGTTTCAGTGTTACGTTGTAATGGCGCGCCTAAAAGAATTCAGTATTGATACGTATTTTCCGTTATGCTTTAATTTTTTTTATTATCTTTCTTATGTAAAATCCAAAAAAAAACAGGATATACCTAAAATAAAACTTTTACTTTTTTCAATTTCTTTTTATCGTCGCTTAAGATACTGGTGGCTTATTAGTTTGAATCGAAATGGCTAAACCATAAATGCACCTATGGAACTAAAGGCGATGAAAGTTTCCTCAAGATGGCGTGTTCAATTTACCGAAATTTGTTCAATTGCATCATTAAATTTTTCTATTTTTTTGTGTTTTTTTTTATAATTTTTTTTGCTTTTCCGGTAAGTTCTGCACTCGGTGGCTTGGTTACTTACGCGTAGAGTAACCAAATGCACCAACAATCAGGATCGAAAGTTATCTTTTAACTAGCTTACTCTTTACAAAATTTATTTATTTTTTCCTATTGATGACATGGAATAAAGTAGTTTTCTTTTGGTGGCCTCATGAGTAACCAATATTTTTATTTTATTTTTGTGTTTATGGTTTCGTTGAGGTGATCAAAAAGTGGCCTAATATATCCATGGAGATGCTTTAGTTGCACTGTGATCCCCTTGAACGGACATAATGCATTTGATTCGAACAATTCTCAATAAAGATAGTTTTTGTTAATACTGGAATTCGCCAACTCCGCCTTACATCAACTAGGTTAGCATTGGTGTACGTCCAACAACACTTTACAACAGTGAAAAAAAACAAAAAAACATGAACTTCACTCGGAATCCGCCGGAGCTTACCCCTAACCGGACAGGCAAAGTCGAAACAAAACAAAAGATTTAAGATACAAACCTTTTTCTTAAGTTGTCTTAAGGTCTAAATAACTTAAATAGCCCATTTCGATATTTTTACCTTTCCTTTAATGGTAAGAATCTAAGTTAAATTTAATAACATTAAATACTGTATGGATAGCGCGGAAAGGCGTAAACTCACATTCGATCTGAACAGAAGAGTCCATAGTTATTATACTCGATCGAAAACCGATAGCGAAACGTACATGTTCCGCACACCTAATAACTTAGAGAAGGCCGGGGCGGTCGATGAATCGTTTCAAGATCTGTCGGAGACAATAAACATTAGGAGGGATACAGTAGATCGTTTGCGAAATCCCTTACCTTTTCCTAACGTAGCTTCTCCAGTTCGTTGTTCTGAGCAATTAATAACAGAATCCGTAGCTATAACTGCGCCCGATTTAAGCTTCCCGCCGCAGCGGACTAACAATGAGAGGCCTTCGACTACTGACCAGCCTTCTCTGGAGCGCAGTTCGTTGCGCACAGAAATAGATACCATTGTCAGGGATAAGCTAAGCAGGGTACAAGAATCCTTAAATAGGATAATGCAAGAGGAAATGCGATTAGGTTTCCAGGAATTAGTAGGTATACTTAAAACATCTTCAAATCCTTTACCTGGTGCAGCACCTGCGCGTGACTCGGCAGAATCGCACAATACCAGCCAAGAGTCCTCGGGTGGCCGTTCTCGACTAATGGTAAAGCCTGGAAATAAAAAAATTAATAAAACCTATCCCAAGAATGCGTCACACTCAAATCGAGGTGGCTTCAAACAACGACAGCAAATGTCCCGATCCCAGTGTCCACGCCAATACAGCGAATTTTCGCCACAGCCACCTAGTCTTCCGCCGCTCCAAATGGCAACCTATTTTGCACAACCAGCGCCGTCTCGTTCACAATGTTCATTTCAGGCCGGCGAGCCCTTGGGGCACGAGCAAATCGCGGACGAAAACGTGCCACGCCAATTACCGCGGAGAGCGCTAGCAAATCCTGGAATGCAAAATCAAAGTCAGCATCGCTACGATATTAAAATTGACAAAGAAGCCGCTGACTTTCTGGAACTGTGGGCAAGAGGGGCACTCCTTCACGGACTGCATGTCTTTGCAGCGAAAAATATTCTGCTTTAAATGTGGCAAGCCAGAATGTATAACTCCAAAATGTCCGAAATGCGCGGCGGGAAACGTAGCCCGGAGCGTGACAAGACCAGAGGAGTCGCGCTCTCAACAAACTCCGGCGGAAGAATAGAGCCTTGTAAGGAAAACATAACAGCAGCGTCCGAAAGCACCAGGGGTGAAAGACGATATTAAAACGAAATCCCCTTGTTAATTTAAAAATTAATTCTTGCGCAAAACTGAACGCTGGGAGGTCTCTGGAAGAGCGAATACGTCATTACTATAGTGCTCGACAGCGTATTTTTCAGCAACACCAACTTGAAGGAGCTCGACGCGTAACCAGGAAAGTGCAGAAGGCGCGTGAACGATATCAGAAGCGTAGATCGGAACGCCTCCACGTGGCGGTAGCAGTTAAAAGCGCGGTTACAAATGATCCTCGCGTTTTCGCCGATGTAGATATACGAGGATAAATTATTAGGGGTCTCTTAGATACAGGTGCTTCGATCAGCATCCTAGGGAAGGGCTGCAGGGAATTAATTGAGGATCTGGACCTCGAAATTCAACGCTTTGTGTCCACGGTGAAGACGGCCTCTGGACAAAGCCATGCTGTACTGGGCAAAACTACGGTAAACGTCAAGCATAGAGATCAAGAACGCAAATTAACTTTCTACTTGTGTCCTTACCTGGAACA